TTCCGGAGTACCTTACCTGTTACTCTTGATGATTGACAGAGTTGTTATTGCAAGCACGAATACATTTACAGCCACGAGAACATGTTGTTAAAGTTAGCTGTTGTTACAGGAGCAGCCACAGCACATCCTTACCGTATATCAAGCACAGTCCAAGCACAAGCAGAACACAGCCTCAGCACATCCCTAGCTACATCAAGCACAGTCCAAGCACAAGCAGTACACTTTCAGGCACAGTACAGAAACTATTTATGAATTCCATAAACGACATCCGCCCCTTCCACCAGCCGTCCAGAATCCCATAACACGTAACTACGATCTCAACCACTCAACGACAAACAATTAAATTATGTTTGTTACTTGTTTTAATCGGCCGCGCCCGCCAGCAAACAGGAGCTACACACACACCACACGGATTCTGGACCCATAACAATAAGCAAACAATAGGGTTTATTACTACGGTGTGTTGACTGAATTGAAAGTGATTCAGGTCCCTCGTCTGTTTGTTATCACGCTTGCTTGCTTGCTTGCTTGCTTGCTTGCTTGCTTGCTTGCTTGCTTGCTTGCTTGCTCTCTCTCTCTCTCTCTCTCTCTCGTCACATTTTTCCTTCCTGTATTTGAGACCGTCACTCATCTTTACGTCAATTTTTTTTATTTATCATGCGGAAATTGCCACAGTTTTCTTTTCAGTCGTACAGGTGCTCCCAGGTGTAGGCAGCCAGGTGCTCCCAGGTGTAGGCAGCCAGGTGCTCCCAGGTGTAGGCAGCCAGGTGTAGGCAGCCAGGTGTAGGCAGCCAGGTGCTCCCAGGTGTAGGCAGCCAGGTGCTCCCAGGTGTAGGCAGCCAGGTGCTCCCAGGTGTAGGCAGCCAGGTGTAGGCAGCCAGGTGTAGGCAGCCAGGTGCTCCCAGGGACAGGCAGCCAGGTGATCTACCAGCAGTGTTCCACCTCCATAATACTGTCACAAATAACTCGTCTCTCCCTCTCTCCCACTTCCGTCATTTAGTCCCCAGTATATTTTCTGTAATTCCGACCCTCGCTGTCTGCCTCATCTACATATTTCCTCATCCATACACGTCCAAGCCTTCCTCTTCCTCCCCTATTCCAGCATACGTGTTTTTTTTCTCCTAACCCTTCCTCTTTAGTTTACCTTCCCGTCCTACCTTCCTAAGCCTCCCCATAACTCCCTACCCACCTAGTCCTCCCCATCCCACTCATTTACGACAGGGCCAAGAGCCTCTAGTCCAAAGCGTAAAGAAACACAGCCTCTCCTTTCGTACTAAGAGTCTGTTGAAGCAGTCAAGAGTCCAAGGCAGTCAAGAGTCCAAAGCAGTCAAGAGTCCTCGGTAAAGACGGAACACTCGGGTCGGGTGGTGGAGGACAAGATGCACAAGAGCTTTATTTTTCTTTAATTTGCAGGTAAAGTATCGGGCGCTGGCCGCGAGTCTGGAGGTGACGGCGGCCTTTGAGGTCAAGTCTGGGATGGCGGTCTTTGAGGTCGAGTCTGGGATGGTGGTCTTTGGGGCCTAGTCTGGGATGGTGGTCTTTGGGGCCTAGTCTGGGATGGTGGTCTTTGGGGCCTAGTCTGGGATGGTGGTCTTTGGGGCAAGTCTGGGATGGTGGTCTTTGAGGTCATGTCTGGGATGGCGGTCTTTGAGGCCAAGTTTGGGACGGCCCTTATCAGACCACAGTCTTTCTTCGCCTCATGTCTGGCCAGAATAAAATTTCGACTCAAAGGATTTAATTAAGTTGTCCTATATTTTTTTTAATAAATGTAAAATACTGTGGAGTGTGTACTCATCAAACTGTTTTTGCGGGGGATGAGTTTCGGCTCTTCGGCCTCTCCTCTCAACTGTCTTATCAGGCTTGTACAGGTTACCAAGTCTATTGTGTTATATATATTTATTTGAAACTATGCCTGGAGTCGACCCCACCACCACATATTTTAGTCTCTTTGATTGTTCATTACTTTCGCTGAAAAAGTTATTTGTCTCTGGTTCATCTGTGTTTCCACCTGTGTCCTCTCGTTCGAATACCATCCACGTTAAGTCTGTATTTGTCTATCCTATCAAATCCCTGCGAATTTTGTATGTAGTAACCATGTCTCCCATAATTCGTCTACCTTTCAGCGACGTGAGGTTTAATTCCCGTATCATTCCGTAGTAACTCATACTTCCAGGACTAGTCTGGTGGAACTCCTCTCTACTTTATCCAAACTCGTCTTGTGTTCGACTAGATATGGACGCCACGCTGGAGCCGCGGAGTCGTGATTGACCTGACATATTATGGTATGTAAGAGCCTGAATGATTCCTTACACCAAATTTCTAAAGACAGTTCCTATGTTGGCTAACGTAGCGTATGTTACTGATGATATCCTTCTGATGTGGGCTTCAGGGGGAGACAGGTTCAGTGGGATATGTCAGCCCCCAAGATCTTTCTATCTATCCGATTCTTGAAGGATTATTTAAAAGGCTTTAGTACCTCTTAATTATCTCTCACTTGTCCTAGTCCTTCTTCGTCCTCTGCTATTTGATCATCCTCCATCCTCCCGTTTTCCTCTTCTTGTCCTTCTCCGCCTCCTTGCTCACTAA